CTTCAGCTCTGGCTAAAGGGCCGGGTGCCACAGAGCGCATGGCGCACAAGCACCTTGCGCATCAAAGTGACGCGCGACTGCTGGGATGCGCTGACCCCTTGGCACGATATGACTCTGTATCGCCGGGGTGTTCTTATTGGCAAAGTGATTAGGAGAAAGACTGTTACAACAGATGCATCGAGCACGGGCTGGGGAGCCGTATGCGACGGCATGGGACGTGATCAGAAACTGAGAAGTTGTGGCACATAAACTGTACACCTAGTGCTTGAGTGCTTTCTCCCGGACATTCTCCACCGTCACGTTCTCATCAGGACGGACAGCATGACAGTGGTAGCGTTTATAAATCACCAAGGGGGTCTGGAATCTGTTCTGTTAGTGGCACCGAAATGGCCCAATCAGCCGTGGTTCCCAGAACTGGTGGAGAGAACTGGTGGAGAAACTCTCGCGACAGCGAGGCGACTGTGTCGGATTGTGCAGTCGAGCGCAGTTGCTCTCCACCGCCTGCGCTGATCATAAGCATGATGGGAAACGACTGACTGACGACACAGCTTAATGCTCATTGGTTCAGACAACTCTGATGCTGGGTTCTCTTCTAAAATATTTTATTTTTTATCTGATTTCATGTGATTATGTATTTAAATTATACATGAATGTTCCCAAACACTATGACAGTGTGATCTCTGTGTGAGATAAGATTTTGCCTGCAATTTATTTATTTTTTTTCAGTTTCAAAGACATTTTATTCAGTTTTCAATTTATATTTTCATAAGTTTCTTGAAAAATTACATTCATTTTAATTGGCACAAAGGTAATTCCATATTTTTGCAGCAGGCCTATTTTGTGGTGAGCTAACATTGACCACTTCAGAACCCAGCTGACTGAGACACACCGAATATTTTTAGCACTTTACCAGTGAATTTCAAACTTGCAACTTTTAATCTACCAGTAAACAAAAAATGCTTCTTATTTGACATCTTGTTCTATTAAAGCTGCAGTCCGTAACTTTTTTTGGTTAAAAATGATCCGAAATCAATATTTGAGCATAACCAGCCAGTGTTCGAAACTATCGCCTTACTTTAGCCCGATTCACAATGGTTAGCTTATAATAATGTTTTCTAATTTGAGTGGTACGGGTAGGTTTTCAAGGGAAATTCGAGCATGGCACTGCGTCATTACGTCACTTCTGTAAACATAAAGAAGTTGTCCCGGCGGCTACTAGGCTGTCGCATGTGAGAATCCTGCAGGTGGTTGATCGTTTTTAGCCTTTTCTCACAGCAGCAGTGGCGGCTCGTCAGGGGAGGCACAGCTTCCCCATAATTTTGAGGTGAAAATGGGAGGAGGACGATTTAATGTTAATAAAATTCACAATTCATTTCAGTTCATGTCTAAGAATGTGTATTTTTTGTTTGTAATTTCACAGTTGTAATACCATAAGGTGAAAGCACCGCTTTTCTATCGCGAATGTGCCGAATCTGCTGATGTAATGGCAACCGCTAATGATAGAGAAGGGGAGGGGGAGGCCGGGGGAGAGGTGAGCTCTCGTGCCTCCG